GACATTCCAAATTAGATATTCCAGGCATGCATTTGGCAAACGTCAATGGATGCAGTTTCAGCACCCAAAAATGAAATGAGCAATATTTTTTGAAGACAAATAGTACTTGACAGTGTGTTCATTTGTTTAATAACATAGTTTTTAAAATACGTTTATACGTTTATACTAATATAATGATGGATTAATAAACTATCAGACTAAATTTTTAGGCAAACATTGACTAGGAAAATCGGCGATGAAATGTAGGAATTCTGTATCTGTGCTGTGTAAATTATAGATGCAACACATATGAATTATATCGCTTATTCGGAGGTTTATGGTTTTGCATACATATACTCTAGATATATTTTATATATTATTATATACTGGTGCGTTATTTGTACGATACTGATACACAGATGCGTTATTTATATGACATGCCGATTACATAACTGTATTACTGCTTTTGAATCTGTATTGTTATAGTGCAACATATCTGATGTACTTGTATGCTGAAGTTTCTATGTAGATAGCGCTGCACGGTAATTCCCTTAACGAATAGATGGCACTGCACGGTAACATTAATCTATAGAGCTAGCTGCATTGATAAAAAGAGAGAGAGGCTGGCCAAAGTATCAAGGCAAAGAGACGAAGCGCAATCACAACAGTCACTAATGGAGGTGGTACTCCTGAAATGAACTGTGGTATCCTAAAACCGACGGTGTCTTATCAGTGATAGAACAAACAAACGTTAGACAGTCCAGTGAGTTTGTCTGTAAAATACGGGCAATGATAAGGAAAAAAAAGAGCGTCGGGAGTGAATCATGCAGACTCACTCCAAAAGCATCCTGAACTTATCAGCGTCTTCGCATGCGCCTCGCAGAGGTCTTTTCCGTCTGATTCACGCATGGTTATTGAGTGGGCAGTAGTTCTCCTCACAGCTGTCCTCGAAAGACAGTACCAACATACTATCAGCAAATACCGCACAAAAACTTCTTTTGTAACGAAATTTTCACCTATACAGATTTTTAGCAATGCCTATAGGCACACTGAGGTATTTAGGTGGACTTTTCTCGGTATTCTTTTACCACTCACTATTTCGTTTCGATGGAAATTAGTACTGAACAAGTTGGAAAGTCAAAACTGTAGTCAAATTACTTCTAAACAAGGTGTGTCTTGCAATACAGGAAGTGATCGAGCTAGAGTTCCTGTTGTGTTCTAGGATGTTCGAAGATATTCTATGCTTACGCATGAAAGCGTGTGTGGGTGTGTGTGTATGTCGTGCGAAGAGTTTGTGGGCGTGCGTAGGTGTGTGTGTGTGGGCATATGTGGATGTGTGCATGTGGGAAGGTGACAGGAGGGGAAGTGGTGGGTAGGAGCCCTCTGGAAGGTGAGACGACACTGATTATTATTGGACTGGGCTGAAGCGGCGAATTAATTGATGCTTTTTGGCCGGAGTTTGGGAAGCAATTGGAGGAGAAAGGGGAGCTAGTGTCAGTGGATTTTTGCGGCTAGCACTGGGATTTGTAACTTCTCAAAGATTTTTTTCCGTGTTACATTGTACTGTTATAAAATATAACTGGTTCCGCACTGGATTATGTGTTATTTGATCAACGTTCGTACAACCGAACAACAGAGGGAATCAGTAACAACGCTGCCTTATGCTACTTCCAAGTACTTCTGCCTTACAAATAAAAATTTGGAGGATGTTCTAGCCTTGATTTCAGTGAAAGGGAAAAAGTTGGCTAACCCAATAGAGCCATGTGACTGAGCTCGAGAAAACAGTACTGTATGCACTGTGTCATCATTCTAGATCGTTTTTTTCAGTGTGCATCAAACATATCTTTGTTTTTACAGTGCAATAGCGCTATCTTGGAAGATATCAGTTATATGTACCGGAAACCATTAAAATTTTCTTTACCATCGGAGGAAAAAAACGAAATGTTTTGGTTTCCGTTGGCATTATGCATTTTGAATAGAAAAAAAAATTTTATTGAATATATTTTTTCCCTACTTTCTCCCACATTCAAATAACGCCGATATTGTTCCTAGACGAAAAGGTAAATTTGGAAAAAAGTAACCGGAACATTCAGCTGATGGCGCACATAATTAAAGCAAGATGAGCACAAAATGTAGTCGACGAGGAGAAAAATTGAAAAAAAAAAGCAGCCGACAAAGAGCGGAATTTGAAAGCCGAGATAAAATGCAGCAATTGCCTTAAATTTAGCAATAAAATGGTGCCAAATTTTGAAGGCCGTATTTATGGTAAATTTGGCACACTCCTT